TGGCTTGACCTTGAGAGCTAGGCAAACTCCTAACATGAAGTCACTGGTGGCTGGGCATGGTGGCTGTTCTGCCCGAGGTTCTCCAGAGGAACAGAACCGACGGGGTCTATTGGAGTGGCTCACAAGCTATGATCTGGCTGGTTCAACTATGGTTGTCTCCCGACATGCCAAAACTGCAGTAGTCATTCACTCCACGAGGCTGATGTCTCGGCTCGTCTTCAGTATCCATCAGAATCCCAAAACAATGGCTTCTCATGCCAGTGAAGGGATGCCTCAGCAGCAGGTGACAGCAAGAACAAGAAGGCAAACATTGAAAACTTCCTTCTTCCATGTCCTTTTATATAGGCTGCCACCAAAAAGTTCGGCCCAGATTTAAGGTTGGTCTTCTCATCTCAAATGATCCAAGCAGGAAAAATCCCTTCGCAGGAGTGCCAGGTTTTAGTTGATTCCAGATGTAGTCAAGCTGACAAGCTCAGTTAGTGGCTTATTCTTGTCATCGCAGTGCTTGGGAGGCTGATGCAGAGGATCACCACAGGATCCAGGACAACCTGAACTACATAGTAAGTTCCAGGTCAGCCAGAGCTACACAGTGAGACCTGTCTGGAAAAACTAAACAAAGAAAAAGTTATAGGCAGAGATGTCTTGAAGGCTCAGTGCTGGCTTGGGGCCGTGCATAGGCCAGAAGGTATGTGGTCATCTTCATCCATGGCACCAGGACACTAGTTCTTCCTCTCCTTTTTCCTCCTTAAAAAAAATTAGATTTATTTATAATATATATGAGTGCTCTTTATATATGTACAATTTTATGCCAGAAGAGGGCATCAGACTCCACTATAGATGGTTGTGAGCCACCATGTGGTTGCTGGGAATTGAACTCAGGACCTCTAGAAGAATAGTCAGTGCTCTTAATCGCTGAGCCATCTCTCCAGATCCCTTAAAAACTTTTTATTTTTATTTTATGTGCATCTGTGTTTTGCCTGCATGCATATCTGTGTGAGGGTGTTGGATCACCTAACACTGGAGTTCCATTAAGCCATCTCACCAGGCCCTCCTCTTTCCTTCCTCTCCCTTCCGAGATGCTTTGTGGCTGGAAGTTTCCATTGTTGTTAGAGAAAATTGCAGAAAGTCATAGGAAGGTGGTGTCTGGGCCTTGGGCGGGAACAAGAGGATGTCCTGCAAGGGGCCAGAGTAGTTGGGGTTCCTGTGCCTGGTGGCCAGCATGGATGGTGCTGGAGTTAGTAGTGTTTGGAGAGGTGGAGAGTGAACAAAAAGAGATCCAAGGTTCTCCAAGTCTGGAGAAAGTAACAGAGAAATTCTTTGTTACTTGAGAGTGACCTGGAGGTGTTGGGAGACCAGTAGGGACACAGGCTCCTTGGAGAACGCAAGGAGCTTCCACACACTCTGAGGGGCTCTATGATGTTAAAACCATAGAAGGGTCTGGGGCCAGGGTAACCAGCCTTAACAAGACCCAGGGTAGAGCTTGAAGGCCAGGAGGATGAGAAACTCAAGGTCTCTTTTCTCTCTAGCATGGCCCGAGTGTAAACTGTGTTCTGAGCCGTAACAGTCAAACTGCAGATTTCCTGCTGCAGCCCAGGGTGACCTCAGGAGATGTCACCCCGAAGATGTCTTGGGTCTGCTATCTGTCTGTGAGTTGTGGGTGAACTTGTAACCAAAAGATGGTACAGTAAGCTACCAGGAACTCTTCTGGTGTTCTGGCACGTATGCTTAAGATTGGCTTAAGTTGGTCTCAGCCGTTTTTAATTTTTTTTCCCCATGAATTCACCCAGCACCTATAACATACAGGTCCCATGGGATAAAAGGTCCAGGGGACACATGAGCACGCACGAAGGTCGACAAGCACAGCTATTTCAGGGTGACAGCTGAGTTAGAAGCTTGGGGGTGAGTGGTCCTTTGCCCAGGGATAAAATTACTAGAAAGGCAGAAGTCAAGACAGGCTTCAGAGAGGAGGTCACAGGTGAGAGGTATCTGAAATGGGTGTGGTACCCCTGCCAGTAGGAGGCAGAGATGATAGTGTCCTGACTCCTGAGGAGGGCAGAAAGGCCACAGTTAGGACCTCTTTGGAATGGCATGCCTGTGAGTCAGGAGGCTTTGGACACTGCCCATAGGTTCTGTCATTTACTCCTTGGCCCTGGGGAGCTGTAGAGATGGCTAGCGGAGGGGCTGAAAGTGGAGCTCTGCCTTACTCCTTCCCCCTGCAGCACTCGGCCCCTCTCCTGGGGACAGTGGGCTCCTGGGGCACAGCTGGTTCTGTCCTATCTCTGGGACTTTTCCACATCTGTCAGGATCTGCTGGAAGATGGAGTTCAACGTGGCACTATGTGCTCAAGGCTGTTTCTTGCTGGGACGGTCCAGACACCACAGATATCATTCCCATAGACGCATGCCCACCACAGTACTCTGCCAGCACCTTATAGTCGGGGGATAGGGTGGGACAAGGGTCAGCAGACTTAACTCTGAACCCCAGCTCTGCCACTTATTAGTGACATCTGTGGGTCTCTGAGCAAGTTGATTTCAATTCCCTTAGGCCCAGCTTCCCGTCTGTAAAATGTTGGCTCTTTTGCTATCCGGCTCTCTCTTAAATTCCACCAACAGGGGGAGCTGTAGCGGACTTGCTTCAAGCTGCTCCAAGCTCTAAGCTGTGTACAGCCCCTCCCCTTCCCTGACAGTCCCAACCTCCCTTCAACCACCCAACCTGAGCTAGAAGATTCATTCCACAACTGTTTTTTAGTGTCAGCACTAAAGCCAACCCTTCATGGTCAGTGCACTCTGAGGAAACCCCTGGCTTCTGTTTTCCTAAGGAAGCTCCTCACAGTCACGCATGACACCGTAGAGCAGCCGGGACTCAGCACCCTGGAGTTGGTTCAGAAAGTTATTGAAGGCCAACGCTGGGGAGGGAAGTCTCATGGGGTGCAAACCAGGTCTAGTGATGACCAGCGTTGTGCAAAGTGGAGACAGAAAGCTGTGGGAGCCTGCATCTGTATGAAGCAGGGCATCTCATTACCCTGGAAGGGTCCTTTGCAATGGGATCGGGGAGCTTCAATGCCAGGACTTAGAGGCCCCAGGGATACAATTTAGAGACAAGGCTGGGGTGTGAGGGAGAAGAGAGGGCCACTGCACCCAGGACCACTGCACCTAGAACCACCACTGCACCCAGGACCACTGCACCTAGAACCACCACTGCACCCAGGACCACTGCACCTAGAACCACCACTGCACCCAGGACCACTGCACCCAGGACCCCTGCACCTAGGACCACTGCACCTAGAACCACCACTGCACCTCGGACCACCACTGCACCTCGGACCACTGCACCTCGGACCACTGCACCGCGGACCACTGCACCGCGGACCACTGCACCTCGGACCACTGCACCGCGGACCACTGCACCGCGGACCACTCAAACGCCTCTACTGTTTCCTCGGGTCCCTAGGTTTTCTCCCTGGAGGACTCTCGTCTGCTCTTCTTTCCCCTACAAAGCCACCTGACCTGCACACTCCTGCCAGATTGGGAACCTCTGACAAAACCACAGAGACAATGCAGAGGGCATGACTAAGCATGTTGCTCTCTCATGCTCGGTCATCCCCACCAGGCCTGCTACCATTTTGCGGGGTGGTGGCCGGTCACTTATTTGTGAATTTGGAAGCTAACAGAGGGCGAAGAAGTTGCTTTATTTATTCTATTTAGATTTTTAACCTTTCTTTCTCTGTGGTAGGTATCCATCCTTCCTTCCAAGGTCTACCTATCAGGCCTCCTGTTGTCCCTGAGGAAAAAAGGCATGTTTTTCCTCCACAAAGCCTCCTGCATAGTTGGGGCATCCCCATTGGAGGCAATCTTTAGCTCTCTTCCTTCCTGTTAAATTCACTGCTTTTCAGGACTCCAACAACAGAACTTGTCCTTCTCAGCTGCCTCTCATCTTTCATCTTTTGAGGTGGAGCACAAACGTGCAGATCACCATCCGTTTTTCCACTCTCCACCCTTCCAGGTTGCTATGGCATCCTGAGCATATATTGTCCAGCACAGGAGGTTGAGAGCTTGGGAGGGAGGGGCTGATGAACCTGCTATGTATCTGTGCTGTGTGAGTGTCCAGGTTCCAGGTCCAGGTTGGTTGGCTATTTACTTGTTTGTTTGTTTCCTTGTCTTAAACAGGTGTGCTCTGTAGCTCAGATTGAACCAGAGATCTTTGTATTACCCAGATAGATGCACTTCTGGTAGCAACCACTAGGCGTCAGTGTTGCTTCAGTCCCAATGCTAGGTAAGGTTTGGGAGTCAGCACTCCTTTCCTCCAGAATCTGAGTCTCAGGAAAACAGGGTAACCGCATATGGCTTCACACAGCTCATCGCCTGCCCCACTCAGGTTCTGTCTTGATGGTTCTGTGACTCCCCTACGTGCTGCAGGACTTCCTTAGGTGCAAGCCTGCTCAGTGGATGGGGTGTGGTGCGTCAGCCTGGGTGCAGGGTTTGAGGCTCCGTAAAAGCCTGGACTGACTCGCTATGCAACTTCAGCTTCAGCACCCTTCAAAGGCATACAGGACAGAGCCGACATTCTGGTCTGCTAGAATAACCACACGGAGCCGGACACAGACCTAGTGTGTGTCCCCTGCCTTGGCTAGGGCACTACTAGGGACAGGCATTGTCATCAGAGCCCCTCTCCCACTCCATGTTCTGGCCACTCAGAATCTGTCCTGTGAGCTCTGGAAGCTTGCCCATTGGTGAGATACAGTGATGGACAAAATGTAGATGGGGGATGGGGAGGATTGGTTGGTTCTGCTGAGAGGCCTGACACAGCCTCTTCTGGCCACGAGAGTGCACAGTGACAAGACTGTTCTGTGCCACTGTTGTGGATCCTGGCTGCTGGGGTCCTCATGGAGGTAATGTTTCATAGCAGTGTATTTATCTTCTATTGCTGCCCTAGGAAGAACAGAGGAAGTCTCCCCAGAGTCAAGACTGTAGCTGGGGAGATAATGGTTGCTGGGACCAGAGTACAAACAGACCTCGGTATTTATTGTGTCTTTTTCAGTCTTTCCTGGAGGGGCTGGGGTGTAAGATGGGAGGGAGGAAGGTGAGGCTCTCCCAGCCTGAGCATCCAGGCCTAGGAATCCAGCAAACAACTAGAAGGGGGAGATTGCGCATCAAGGGGTGCCCTTGAGGCAAAATAGGGGAGCACCAAGCTTGGGGTCCCTGGGCAGAGCAGGGAGAGAAAAGTGAGGGCTTGTGGGAACCCACTTGCTCAGTGTCAGGGTTCCTGCCCTGTCCTGGTATGTGGGGCAGAGGGCAGGAGAGGAACACAGGGAAAAGAAGGGGCAGGCCCCAAAGTGAGTAGCGAGATCTCCCGGCCTGTCTCTGAACACTGGAGGGGGTGTTTCTCTGGATTCTGCCTCCAGTGGAATAGCATCCTCACTCTGAGGGAGGACACTCCTGTCCTGTGGTCTGAGTCCTGCCAGTTATGACTGCTCATGCTTCCCACAGTCTAACTCTGAGTCTGGTCAGATGCCTCCCCTTCTGGCTCCTGTTTTCTGCTAGTGCTGGGCTAACTCTTGACCTGCCTGAGGGAGACTCAGGATGAGAGGTGAACACAGAGACATAAGGATTGGGTTCTGCCTTCTCTGCCCATGGGAAGCCAGTCAGCTGGGGAATGCCTGACCTTCAGTGTCCTGGATCCCTATTTGGGGGCCTGTAGTCTGAAGTTCCATTTGAGTTTGGGGGGGAGTCAGGCTCTGTCTCAGTACGCAGCAAGGAGGCCTGGCCCCGCTGGCATTCGGGGCTGTAGTAGAAGGAACAGAGTCGGAAAGAGGGCCGAAGCTCATTCTGTATGCGATCCAGGATGTGCACGAAAGTCGGACGCAGGCGCGGACTAGGCTGCCAGCAGAGTCTCATCAGCTCCTGTCTGGGAGGGTGAGGTGGGGTTAGAGGGAGCCCAGATGCACGCTGCCTCCCACACTGAGAGTATCAGTTGGTGGAAGGAAGGGATCAGAGGGGAATAAGTGAGGAACGTAGGTGAGTTAAGAATTGGGAGTAGCCGGTAGGCAGTGGTGCACGTTTATAATCCCAGCACTCAGGAGGCAGAGGCAGGAGGATCTCTGTGAGTTTGATGCCAGCCTGGTCTACCAAAAGCAAATAAATAAATAAAAGAGCTGGGAGTCAGTGGCGTAGAAGCTTTGGGAGAGCTGGGTCGGAGTCAAGGGTGATGAAGAGGACGGGAAGGGCCGCGACCACGACTCACAGCTGAAGCGGGCAGTCCTCCAGCTCCTCCAGGACTCCACCATCCATGACAAATTTGAGCACCTGCTCATTTGATAGACCCTGGTATGGTTGTTCAGCCAAGGTCACAATCTCCCAGAGCACGACACCAAAGGACCTGGAGAATGCGGAGAACAGCCTGAGTCAGCACCCTTCCCGTTGCTCAGCACCCCTAGTGAGGAAGTGCCCCAGACCCTTCCAAGACACTGCCTGCACATCCTTGGGAGCCGCTGCTCCTGCCAGGCCCTACCAGACGTCTGAATGAGTGGTGAAGATTCCATCTTTGAGGGACTCAGGGGCCATCCAGCGCACAGGCAATAGTCCCTTTCCACCTTTGCGGTAATAGTCTGTCTCATACACATCCCGGGTCATGCCAAAGTCTGGAAAGTAAGAGTTTAAGGACATGGGAGACATCACCAGTTCTCCTGGAAGACAGTCCTCAACCTTCTCTCCCCCCAGTCTCTGAGCATCCTGGAAGGTGTGACTTCAAAGGATCCTGGAGGTCATCCCTGCTCTTGGACGTGGAGACCGAGGTGAGGGACTGGGGGACTCGGCCGCCAAGCCTTTGCACCAGGCCTGGTCGCCTATGGCTAGCTTAGGGGAAGAAGCTCTACCTTCAGGCTTCCCTTATCCATCTGGTACCCCACTGTACCACCAATTTTGACGGTGAAATCCTGGGACACCATACAGTTGCGGGCTGCCAGGTCCCGGTGCACAAACTTGTTGGCAGCAAGGTAGGCCATGCCATCTGCAATCTCGCCCGCCATCTGTATCATGTCACTGAGTTCTGGCTGTGGAAGGCCAGGGTTGTTCTACAGGCAAGAGAGGCTATGGTGAAGAACTGCCTCTCACTGTGCCCAACTTCTCAATTCCCCAGCCTCATATGGCTCAGGATCTTCCTTGTTCCAACCTCTGCCTCAGGTCTCAGAGATCGGAGATGGCTCTTGAGGTCCCCACGGTTCATTAACTCCATGATGACCAAAGTTGGCTGGCCCTGAGACACCACACCCAGGAGACGAACCTGGGATGACAAAGATCTTGATTGTAGGTCTCTCTTTGATCCACGTGGCCAATTGACCTTCTGTGATTATACCCCGACTCAGATGCCTCTCCTAACCCCCACCCTGCCACGACTGCAGTCATAATCCTGACCTAACAGTGACCCTGACTTCAACCCTTAACCCCGATCATATCTGATTATCATCATAATCATGAAGTTGGTCCCTCTCAAGACCCCAATAACTCCCTGGAAACCTAATGCTGTACCCCGACCTTGACTGATCTCAGTACTAGGTTCTGCTCCTATTAGGGTTTTTGCTACAGTCCAGCCCGGACCTCATTTCAGACCCTTTCCTTCTTCCCAGAGCCTTTAACCTTGGTATGATCTTACCACATGGTGACACTTGAATGCCTTCATGACGGAAGCTTCCTTGAGGAATTCAATTCTCTCCCGTGCGCTGGCCAGTTCATTAACTGTCTTCAGGGCTACAGGTGTAGACTCCTCTCCAGCCCCAAGCCCTTGTGCCAGTCCCTCATAGACCATCCCAAAAGAGCCTTGGCCCAGCTCCCGGATGATGGATATTTGCTCCCGAGGCACCTCCCACTCATCAGGGACATACACTGAGCAGAAATATGTGTCAGAGGCAAGAGTGCCTCTCTCTGCCATGCCTTCACCTGCCTCTTGTCTCCTTCCCCTCCTAAAGCTATTATTGAACTTTAACGTGAAAAAACTACTTTTCTAAAGGGTCACACATGCTTCAACATGCAGGTAACTACAGAGTCATACAAAGGCATCAGTCAGCTTATGCTGGCTTCCTCAGTACAGAAAACAGTGAACTGTTATTTTCAGATTAAGACAGTCATTCTTTTCTCATGTGTGCATGACGTGTGTGTGTGTGTGTGTGTGTGTGATGCATACACACGCATGGACATGTGGAGGCTGCAGGTTGATGTCAGAAGTCATCATCAGTTGTTCTTCCACCTTGTTCACTGAGGCAGGGACTCTTAATCAAAATCAGAGCTCATCAATACACCAGTTTGCTCTGGGGATCCTGGTCTCCACCTTCTGAGGCTGGAATTACCTGTGGGTCACTATGCCCATGTAGCATCTAGGAAGATTTCTGGGGATCCAAACAGTCTGAACTGAAGTCCTCACCCTTGTGCAGAGAACATTTTAATTATTATATTTTTGCACTTTATGTCTAAGTGTCTGGTTGTTGTGCCACATGTGTGCCTGGTGCCCTTGAAGGCCAGAAGGGACAGGATCTTTGGAACCAGAATTACAGACAGATGTGAGCCTCCCTGTGAGTGCTGGGAATAGAACCCAGGTTCTCTGCAAAAGTAGTTGGTGCTCTTAACTTTTGTGACAAATATTTTAATGGTGAATCACCTCTTCTGCTCTCAGCTGTTCTCTCTCTCTCTCTCTCTCTCTCTCTCTCTCTCTCTCTCTCTCTCTCTGTGTGTGTGTGTGTGTGTGTGTGTGTGTGTGTGATGTGCATGAGTGTGCAGGTGTGCCTTCTGAGTTGTTGCATTGATACAGAGTCTCCCATGGACCGGGAAGCTCCATGCTTTGACTAGGCTTTGGGAGCACACAACAAGTTCTGGGGGGACTCTTGGCTGTCTCTACAATCAGTGCTGGAGTTACACAAGAGATGCCAAGCTTTTTATGTGAGTGCTGGGTATTCAAACTCATGCTTGCAGAGTGGGCACCTTTCCCCCATTGAGTCACCTTCCAAGCCATCACCCCCAGACCATCAAAGGCTCCAAATATATTTCAGGAGCCCTTTGACTTCTCTTCTGAAGTACTCTGTTCTCAAAGCCACCTTCCCCAAGAAGGTCCTGGAACTCTGCTCCTTCACTCCTGCCCCCTTTCCCATGCCACCCATGTCCTGGACTTACTGTGGGAAGCGCTGAAATACTCTGGGTTCACAGACGTGTACAGTGTGCTGTTTCTGCAATGGGAGGCAATGGATCAAGGAGAAAAATAAATACACCAGGATTATGGGGACTACGCTTGCTCTGGTTAGGGTGGCCTCTGGGGAGTCCCAACATTTCCAAGCTGCCCATGGTCCTAGTCCTGGGGTCAGATAGGCCGAGAATAGGTGGGGTCATGGGTAGATAAGGGTGTCCTCTCTCAGTGGGCCCAGAGGGGCTTGATGACATCTGCACAGGTACACCCTAGGGTTGTTTCCTCTTGTCTCAGCAGAATCAACTTCATTTTTTTTTTCTCAGCTTGAGCTAACGGTATGGTGACCAGTAGTCCTCATGTGCCCACACCAAGGTGTTTCTCAGGAGACAAAGCACTTAGGTTAACACAGATGAGCTACCATCTTAGCTAAGAGGCATGTCTCCTGTATGCCTTCCAGGGAAAGAGTTACTGTTTTTAAGGAAGTCCTTTCTGTTGTCTAAACTATGACCCTCTGAGTGTGCGACGGCGAAGGGCGAGAAGAGGAAGGAAGTGTGTGGGACTTGTCGTCACCTCCTCTTGTTGTAGAAGAAACCGAGGGCCGCAAGCATGGTGAGCAGCATGAACCCCACAGGGGTGACAGTGAGGAGGATGCGCAGTCCCCCAGCATCCTCTTCCTCTGGAGGTGGAAGGGGGGGATTGACAGATTAGAGTGGAAACTGCTTCTCTGTCAACACCGGAGAAGGGTGATGGGCCGGTCTGACAGAGAGCAGCTGGGCAGATTGGGGAGCAAGTCTGCCTTACCTGGACCAGTGATGTAGAAGGCAACACCGTCCGTCCAGGAGCCATTGCCAGCCAGTGAGGTGGCCCGGACTCTAGCAGAGTAGTTCCCGGGGGGCAGCAGAGCCAGCTGAACCCCACCAACTTTGGCATAGCGAAGCCGAGACACACAGAGCACTGTGGCCTCCTGCAGATAGAACAGACAGCAGGCTGCGAAGTGGGCGGAGGTGCAGACTCAGACTGGGATAGGGGTCCTGGGTACATACCTCTCCCAGGCGGCGGTACTTGATTTCATACTTGAGGATGAGCCCATTGGGGTCAGGTGGTTCAAGCCAATGCAAGATGACACTGCTCCTGCCAGCTGCCTTCCAGGCCACCTTCCCTGGGATGTCATCCGCTTCTCCTGCAGGAGGGGCATCTGGCAAACAGGCCACAAGCAGTTCTTCTTGCTCACTTTCAAACCCTGGCTAAACTGGGCCCAATGGGGGAGTTTGGAGAAGTTCCACAATCGTGGGAACTGGGAAGGACGAACAGAGTGAGGCTCTAAGGTTAGTGGGAGGGCATAATTGCTGCTTACAGAGCACTGACTGGGCAGTTCTTGAAGTCAGCAGTGGGGGTGCAAGTTGTGTGAGGGGACACCTACTATGTGGCATGGTGCGTGCAAAGACGAATGTGGCAGCACTGCAGCCCACAGTGTGTGCCGCGTGGTTGCAGGCATGGATGTCAATCCTGTATTCCGTGAAGTGCCTCAAGCCGCTCAGCACCGCTCGCTCCCGGGGAACCTTGTCCTCTTGAATCTCAAAATCCGAATTGTTGGTTCCTAGACTGAGAGGCCCAACTTCCCGGCGGTGCCTCTCTAAGTCCCTAAAAATGGGATGCGTCAGAGCCAAAAGGCCTGTTCACATAGCCCCTCCTCCCTCCCCCTCCCCCTCCCGCTTCCGTCCCAGCTCACCTTTGGGGGCTCTTGTTAATGGATGTTACTTTCCAAGGGGACCTGGGGAAGCCAGGGCACCTATCAGCTCCGTTGAGCTCTGCCTTTGCGCCCGCCTCCAAATCCACCCTTTCCAAGGCCAGGCCCGCACCGTAATAGGCCCCTGCCACCAAGTCCCACCCTCTCCAAGTACCGCCCCTCTGGTCCTCCCAACCAGGTCGCACTTCGGGATGGTGATGGCATGATGTAGGAAGTTTTCAAACTTTTTCTGGAACGTGACCTCTTGTGTCTCCAGTGCGGGCAGCGCCTGCCCAGGAGGTGAGTGTTGGCAAGGACAACATCCTTGCTCAGGTTCAGCCTCCAGCGCCGGGTCTTCGCGGTCGAAGCGTGCGTCGTGGCTGCTGGTGGGCAGCCGTAGACCTGTGGGCACCGTGCAGAAGAGAGAAGTCAAGGCAGCGGTCCACCCGCCACTGAGCATCCCCGATCTGAGGCACCCCCAGCGCACCGCGGTGGCAGTAGTCATTGATGTAGAGATCACCGTCCTCTGCTAGGCGCTGCCACAGCACCAGGTAGTAGGTGATATTTCCATTGCGCTGGACTGGCGGCTTCCAGCGCACCAGAAGGTGTGAAGAGGATTTGGACGTGGAGATGACATCTTGGGGCACCGTGGGGGCTATGATTGTGAAGAGGGTGATGCTCAGAGGTGGGGCCCCTGCTGAGCACTGTGTGATCTATCCCCCTTTTCCAGAGGGATCTATGACTTTCAGCCCTCCTTCCCTACATATCATTCTGTCCTTTCTCTGTTTCAGAAAATAGTATGGATGAAACTTCATTCACGACAGGCAAGTACTCTCCTAAATGAGCCGTGGCCCCAGCCATGGGGAGGCAATATTGTTATACAGAAGCGCAGGATTCAGGATTTAGTTCTCCAAATCCTTCACAGGATTTTGAGTTCACTCGGCTGTCTCAAGTCCAACCCAGCCTCACCCAAGCACAGAAAATACCCTGATTCTTGGTAGTGCCAAAGAATCTGACCTTCTACCCTGTAGGGTTCCCCAACCTGCTTGTGTCTGGCACCCGTGTGCTTCTATCTTCCTCCCTAGGACTCACGCATCTCATTCTGGAGCCCTCAGCTCACCGGCAGGCAATGTTCGAAGGTAGACGATAGGGCTCTGGGCTCCTTGATGGGGGCTGTCCTCCGCAGTGGTCAGTGTGATGGCTCGTACAAACACAGCATACTGTGTCCAGGGCTTAAGGGGTGCTAGGGTCACCCCTGGCTCCTGGGTACGGCTGAGGGGTAGTTCCACATCCAACAGGTTCCAGCTCTGGGCTCCACACGCATCTGGACCCACGTGTTCTGTGGCGTTCTGGAATGGGCTGAATACACCATCCCCAGTGTTGGGGTAGGGGTCAGGCCACACCTGACCCCTACTAACTAACACCTCCCCCACTATGCAGGATGGCCATAGCCCTTTCCCCACTTTGCATGTGAGCACAGCTGGAATTTCTGTCAGTTCACCCACCCTGTGGGGCTTATGATCCTGCCACACATCACAAATTATAATGAAATATCCCTCATCCTTAGTAGGAATTATTGAGTTTTTGTCCTAATGAGAATAGCCAGAAATAAATAAATAAATAAATAAATAAAGAAAGAAAGAGAGAGAGAGAGAGAGAGAGAAAGAAAGAGGTTTGTACTGTATTAAAACAAAACCCAGAAAGTGGGTATGGGTAAAGAAGCAAATCATTCTCATCTCTAGGACCAAGAGAATCATTCTCGTTCTCTGGAGCTAGGACCAAGAGAGCACTCTCTTGCTGAGGGCAGAATAATCCTCTCTTCTGATTTGTTCTGTTCTCGAGTGTATTTCCAAGTGGCCCAGCCTAGTCTTGAACCTGCTGTTTTTTGTCTTTGGCTCCTGAGTGTTTACCATGATTATAGGCTTGCACCACCACTCCCAGTAGGCAGAGTATCTTAGTCAGAGTCCCTGCATGGATTCTGGAAGTCTATGAACCTTCCAGACTACAGGCATGGTTCTACATGTGCTTGTGTGTCCATAAACACCTTTCTAGAGGTGGGTTCCTAGCTTTCATGCTGTCCAAAAACTCGCTATGTAGATCAGGCTGGCCTCAAACTCACAGAATTCACCTGTCTCTGCCTCCTGAGTGCTGGCATTAAAGATGTGTACCACCACACCAGGCCAGCTCTCATGTCTTAAAAGTAGATCCCCAAAACCAACAACCACCGCCTCAAGGGAATACTTGAGGCAGACTTTGGGGATTAGACTGGAGGCAGGCCATGCAGAGATACCACAGGCTCTAAGGATACAAGGAGAGCTAGCTTCTAACCAGAGAAAATAAGGTTTTGGGGTACTGTAAGGCATTACATCCATGTTTATGATATGATTATTTGATGGTAGGCAGAGGGGTGGGATTATGCTGAGTCAGGGACAAAAGGTTGTGTGTGTGTATTTTGTGTGTGATGATGTATAGGTGGGGATGCCCTCATTGGTGCAGGTGTGTGAGTGTGTGAGTGTGTGTGTGTGTATGTTTGTGTGTGTGTGATGGTGTATAGGTGGGGATGCCCTCAGTGGTGCAGGTGTGTGTGTGAGTGTGTGTGTGTGTGTG